CGTGCTCGTTCGCAGGGCTCGGCAGGATGTTGCAGGAGGCAGCGCCAGCCGATCGGTGGACGGCGAAGCTGCTAGCTTATCCGTGCTTTGATCATGGCTTTCGGCAGGCAGCTCTTTCGACCCGGCTTGCAAATCTGCAGTTCGTGCTTGCAGTGGAAGCCGAGTCTCCGGGGCAGTTCGCAGCACAGGTCTTTGACTGGACAGCTAGCTCCGCCAAGGAAGCTCACGAGTTGCTAGCCTCCCGTGCTCCGATGCTCGAACAGTTCTGGACATTTGCTCGCGCAGCAGAGGCGCTGTTCACAGACTCTCTGGGGTATCAGATGGGCTTCGCTCGTTGCTCCAAGATCCCGAGGGGTCGGCCACGTCAATCGCACAGTTCCAGCGCGATCTGGCAATTCGAGCCTTGGCGGCTCCAGTCCTGGCTCCAGCGTCAAAGAAAAAGCCGGCGGCTCCAGCCGACGACTCTACAAACACACCGTTGCTCAGCATGGAGAATGCCGAGAAGCAGCGATGGGCCAAGCGGCTTCGCGCTATCGCCGAGCGTGCTGGTTCCTTTGCCGATCCCGATCGGAGCGCCAGTGTTCGCCTCGGGGCTCCGTCGACCATGGCAAATCACATTCGCCGGTTCGAGAAGTTCGAGCGCTGGGCGCAGCGGGTGGGAATCGATTTCTACCCGCTCTCCGACGATAAGATCCTGAAGTACGCGATCGACCTGGACTCTCGTGAGTGTGGCCCGGCCCGACGGTCTTGCCTTCTCTTCGAATGGCACTCCGGTGGGTCGCCTTTCGGATCAACCTGGAGCTCCCCTCGATCGACACACAAGCGCTCAAGGCACTCGAGAAGAACGTGTTCACTCAGAGGGGAAAGCCCTTGAAAGAGGCGATCCCCTTCGAGATCTCTTTGGTGATCTTCGCCATGGAAAAGTTCGTGTGCAACGACACCCACCCCAAGCCGGCTCGCATCTTCATGTGGTGGGTCGTGTGCATGATCTTTGCGTCCCTCCGGTTCGACGACGCCATCCATGTGAAGCCGCACGAGCTCGAGGTGAAGTCTGAAGGCCTGTTCGGTGTCTCTTGGCAGACGAAAACGGAAAGGAAACGTCGAGGTACCAAGTTCGTGGTCCCGGACGTCGCTTTCTCCAAGTGTCCTTGGTTCAAAGACGGTCTGGAGATGTTCGAGATGGAGTTCCCGCTGGTCCAACGGGACTTTTGGATCCCTGAGCTGGATTCGAAAACTTCGTGGCGGCCAACGCCCCCAGAGTATGCTCGCTCTCTCCAGTGGCTCCACCACTTGGTCTTTGTGGCAGGCAAAGAAGATAATGTCGCCCAGCCAGTTCTGAACGCTATCACCAATCTCTCCTGGCACTCGGCTCGGGTGACAATGCTGGATCAGGCTGTGCACTTCGACCGCAGTGCCCAGGAGATCGGTGTGCAGGCGAATTGGAAAAATCCAGGACCGCGTGTTCTCAAGTACACGCGTTCGCGCAGTTCTCTGCCCGCCAAGATGATCAAGGAGCTTGTGCAGGAGATCTCGCGCGAGTTCACGCCTGAGTGTGCTCAAGAAGATGACGAGATTGATGACCACGAGGATCGAGACGTCACTCTCACTGAGTTCTTCGTGAAAGCTCCTGAGAAGGGATCAAGTTACGATTATAAATTTCATGTTTGTTCCAGTGACTCGGTCGAGGAGATTGCTTGCAAACGGGCGATCACCCCCGAGTTTGTGCACATTGGGTCAGTTCTCCCTGATCCCAAGCTGCTCTGTAAGCTCTGTGCTCGTGCCCGGCCCGACGTGGCTCTAGCCTTCAAGGTCTGAACAAACACAGTAAGCGGTCTGTTGTGTTCTTGCTTGCTCTGTCTTTCAGGTCGTGCCGCTCAAAGTGTTTGCTCAAACTACAAGCTCTAGCAATCATGGTCGACCGCACCGTCTACCCCGACAAGGACAAAGTTCCGGAGCTGGCTCTGCGCCAGATCTTCGGACGCCAGAAGCTGCCGGAGCCGCTCTGCCTGCTCATGGCAGATAAGGGCCTGCTCTTGGTCGAGCGCATGGCCATGCTCGGGGACAGCATCGCCTCGGTCAAAGCGACCCTCAAGGCGATCGTTGGTGACGACAGCAAGTTCGGCTCTCGCTCACGATGCTCACTGCCGTCTGGAAGTCGGCTTCCGTTCTGCAAGAGCACATATCTGCTCGCCGTGCGAAGATGGAAGAAGATCCTTCCAAGATTCCAGAGATTCCGGGCGAAGATCATGCAGAGTTCAGGGAGATCTTTGTGAACCAACACCCCGACGTGATCCTCACCTATATGCCATATGCGCGAGCCGCACCGCAAGTTCGTGGAGAGGATTCATCGCGACTATCTCGTGCACGGCGCGGTCGCGTTCTATGAAGTGGCAGAGATGCGTACCCGCGCGGATCGCATTGTTCAGACCACGGGCTTCTCCAAGACTTCCGATGATCTACTTAGGGTGGTCCAATCGGACAACAAGGTGTCGATCGCCTCCGACTCGGACGTCATGGATCGGCTGCACGCTTTCTTCATTGCGCTCGAGTACTTGAACATCTGCGACGTCACGATCGAGGCCGGACCCTTGAAGTACCTCTCGGAGCTAGAAGAATGGCGGCATGAGAATCGCGGTCTCGCCGTTCTCTTAGCGGCCGACTCTCTCATTCGCAAGAAGGTCTACAAGTTGAACAACGACAAACGCAAGGACTTTCCTTCGTTCTCGGCGGCGCTCAGGGAGGTGCTCACGCACCACAAACAGCTCTGGAACGACGCTCGCTCGACTGCAGAGCTCGAGAAGTTTCGGCAGGCCGAGCACGAGGTCTCCACGCCAACAAAGCGGCCGCGTTCCAGGTCTCCACCGGCGGCTCCGACGCCACCCAAGAACGAGGCGCATTCGCGCAAGAACAAGGCTCGGCGCGATCGCAACAAAGCCTTGCTCAAGAAGCTTCGTGAGGAGAACAAGGACAAGGACAAGCCAACCAAACCCGCCGTTAAGCTCACGGAGAAGGTCGAACGTGATCAGCGGGTCCCAGAGAAGGAGTGGAAGAAGATCATGTCTTTCTCCTATACAGGCGCTCGTCGATGTCCATTTTACAACTGCTCGCTGGGATGTCGTTTTGGTGATCAGTGCCGCAATAAGCACATCTGCGTGCAGTGCGGGGGGGATCACCCTTGGCACAACAACCACTGAGCGTCTCAACAAGGCGTGGGGGACCTCGGTCTGGGTCCCCCGGCGCCTCAGCTCCACAGACCACCAGGCAATTTTGTGGAACCGCATCCGCTGCTGGCTCCTGCGGCGAATGAAGCTCCCAATCGGGAGCCGACGGCTGCTCTGGTTGGCTCGCCCCCTCCATGGGAGCGGTGGTCGGATGTACCTCGAGATCCCGACCTCGTGAAAGATCTGGGTCCGTGGTGCCTCGAAATCTTTTCAGGTTCGGCATGCATCTCTGTGGCATGGAAACAACAAGGTCTGCTGGCTTTGCCACCGATCGACTTGGTGCCCTCAGAGATGGTCATTGAGCCGATCGACTTGCTGGACGCATCGATCTTCGACTTTGTGCTGCTCCTGTGCCGCACGGGCGCTGTGTCGTTCTTGCACCTCGGCACCCCCTGCTCTTGGTTCAGCATCGCTCGAAGTCGACCTGGAGGTCCGCCGCCGCTTCGGTCTCGAGAAGAGCCACTCGGGTTTGCAGGAAGCTCTCCAGCGGCTGAGTGGCAGCTGACTCTCGCCAACGAGCTGCTCTTTCGCTCTCTCGAGCTGTTTGCGGCCGTGGTTCAGGCAGGCGGAGATGCAACTCTTGAGAATCCAAGCTCTAGTTTGATGTGGCAGGTTCCTCAAGTTCAACAGCTCAAGCTCAAGTTGCATCTGTATAATGTAGATCTGGACCAGTGTCAGTTTGGATCTGCGTTTCGCAAACCCACCCGCTTTCTGGCCAGTGACGCTCGCTTCTTGACCCTGGCTCGAAAGTGCGAGGGTGGCCACAAACACGTTCCTCTTAAAGGTCGGGTTCGCTCGCTGTCGCAAGAGGTTGTGTTCTTGACCAAGGTCGCTCAGGAGTACCCCGCGCAGCTCTCCAATCAGTTCGCCCAGGTCACTCATGCGGTCGTCTTCGGCATCTTTCCGCAGTTTCAGGCTTCTTTTCAGCTAGTTGCCCGGAAGTCCGATCGCAAGCGCCAGCTCGGGGACCAGGTCGTTTGGAAAGGTCATCGGCAAGAACAAGCAGCTCGCCTTGCTTGTTCTAGCGGGTACCAGCTCAAGCGCGGAGCGGCGAAGCCTCTGCTCGATGTGGAGTGTGAGCCAGGGGTCGCTATTCAGTGGGCTCTTCACACAGCTCACCCATTCACGGTGCAACCAGTTCTGCCAGACGACATCCTGGATAATATCAAGACAATCGTCGGCGAACCAAACGATCTTCTACAACGTCGCCGTGATCGTCTGGCTTTTTGGCAGCAGCGAGCTCAGCAACTTCTGCCAGCTACAGATCGGGAACTCCGACGTATCTCGGATTCGGCGCTGCGCCGCCTACTCCGGGGGGTCCCCGACTACGTGGATCTCCAACTTGGCTCTTGCACTCACGTCAAGCTCTACGAGGAGTTCTCCATGGCAGTCGGCTCGCCGGATCCGTTGCTGCTCCAAGGCATTCGTGAGGGCTTCCCGATCGTGGGTGATATCCAAAGGTCTGGTCGCTGGCCCCCGTTCGTCAAGCCGCAAGCCGCAACAGAATGTGCCGGTGCAAGAAGCTCTCAATCGGGCCTGGGAGTTTCGTTCGAAAATTTTCCGTCGTTGTAATGCTGTTCCAGTCTCGGACAATCTCAGGTCTTTGTGGAAAGCGACGATGGAGGACGTCTTCGAAGGGTCGACGGTCGGGCATTTCAGCTCAGAAGATGAGGTCTCCGAGTTCCTGGGCTGTTCAGACTGGATCCCGACGCAGCGTTTCGAAGTAGTTCAGAAGAACAAAGTTCGAGGCTGCGATAGTGCGACGTCAAACTTGATCAACAAGACTGCGGTGATCACCGAGAAGTTGCAGCTCGTGTCGACCGATCTGAACGTTGCTGTCCTTCGAGAGCTGCGGACGCGAGGAGGCGATCGTGCTCTTTCGGGTTGGGTTCTTGACGAAAGGAAAGCCTATCGGCAGCTTCCGATCCGGCCGGATCGCCGGAAGTTCAGTGTGATCTGCCTGAAGGATCCTGAGGATGGAGTTCCCAAGTACTTCGTCATGATCGGACACTCGTTCGGTCTCGTGGCGGCGGTCTACAACTACAACCGCCGTTCGGCTTTCATCAACGACGTCTTGGTCAAGCTCTTCGAGATGGTCGCCTTCAACTTCTACGACGACAAGTACGGGTTCGAGACGGCGCTCACGACCCCTTCGGCGAAGCTCGCGGCAGAGACGGTTCACTTCTTGCTCGGTGCTCTCTTCGATGAGAAGAAGCTTCAGCTCTCCGTCGCGCCGGTGATCCTGGGTGTGACGTTCAACCTCGAGCAGCTCGTCCTAGAGATCAAGGAGCAGAGAAAGCAAGAGCTCTTAGACACGATAGACTCCGTGCTCGAGGCCGGCGTCCTGGATCCAGGGTTAGCCGGCAAGCTCAAAGGAAAGCTGATGTTCGGTGCAAGCCAGCTCTGGGGGAAAGTCGGTCGTGCTTTCTTCCGTCCGCTCTCCGAACGGCAGTACATGAAGGATCTCCATGGGGACCGCATGGATCTCAACCCTGCGATCGTTCGATCCCTCAAGTACTGGAGGAGGCTGGTTGAGTTCGGGCCGCCGCGTGAGATCTCGCTCCGAGCCGAGAAACCATCTGATGTGGTGATCTTCACCGACGGCTTTACCCCCGATCAGAGAAAGGAGGAGGTCGGTCCTGATCGAATCGGCGCGGTCATGTTCGATCGCCGAGCTCCGGCGCCGAAGCAGTTCTCAGAGGTGATCCCTCGCGAAATCTCAGAGAAGTGGCTCCCGCGCAAGACGCAGATCGTTCCCATCGAGATGATCGCACCGATTCTCGCAGTCGAGACTTTTCGTGATCATCTGAGGAACAAAGATGTTTTGCTCTTGATTGATTCTGAAGCCATAGAAGCAGCTCTTGTGAAAGGATACTCCTCAAAAGAGGATCTCTGCGAGCTCGTTGAGATCTTTTGGGAGCTCACCCTCGAGTATAGGATTAATTTCTTTATCGATCGTGTCTCCACAGATGCAAACCCTGCAGACTGGCCATCGAGAGATTTGCTCGATATTGGCCGGTCGGCGGGCTGGGAGACTGTTCAGACTTCATGGCCCGCGAAGCTCGCGGATTTTTGATAAGTTCGGGCCTGGGAGCTGTTCGGACTTGAGGCGGTCGCGAAGACTTGTTCGAGTCTGAAAAGGTGCGCGCTCGACGCCTGGGAAAGGTTCGGGTTGCGCGTTCGCTCTCTTCTTCGGTCGGACGATGACGCACGGGAAGGGTGTCTCGTTCGATCGATCGGGGCTCGGGTCGATCGGTTTACTTCGTTCCGTTTCGGATGACGAGCTCGACCCCATGCCAGAGCGCAAAACATGTTCAGTGTGTGCGCTCGCATGTTGGCTGCAGATCAGTGAGCTTTGCGAACGTTCGTGCGCGGAGTGTAGTTCTCCTATTATCGGTTAGGTAGGTCTGGAATAGGAGGGCTACACTTCTGCATGAGATCTGCATGTCAAGTCTTCTCTTTGATGACGGCGATCGCCGTGGCCATTTTGGCGCGAAGCGATCGCTTACGGATCCGCGAAGGATCTTTTTTCTCCCACCCAGCCCACCCTTTTGTGGTGCTTTTACAGTGACCGCACCTATGCTGCAGCTTCAAGCTTCAGCATAGGTGCGGTCGTTGTGAAGGCGAAGGGAGCTGTTCGGACTTGAGGCGGTCGCGAAGACTTGTTCGAGTCTGAAAAGGTGCGCGCTCGACGCCTGGGAAAGGTTCGGGTTGCGCGTTCGCTCTCTTCTTCGGTCGGACGATGACGCACGGGAAGGGTGTCTCGTTCGATCGATCGGGGCTCGGGTCGATCGGTTTACTTCGTTCCGTTTCGGATGACGCGCTCGACCCCATGCCAGAGCGCAAAACATGTTCAGTGTGTGCGCTCGCATGTTGGCTGCAGATCAGTGAGCTTTGCGAACGTTCGTGCGCGGAGTGTAGCATCAAAATTGCTGCGAGGCTTGGTTCTCGACGTGTGGTCTTTCAGCCTCCTCAGCGACCAGAAAGTAATCGTCGTAAAACTGGGTCCAATGCAAATCGAAAAAAACCAGTGCAAGGTGCCATATGGCCGAAGCACAGGTAAAAACCCTGTACTGCAGTCTGGCCACGAAGAGCAGGGACCAAGGCCTGAAAGAATTCATACACTGCTCATTCCGAAACTGCTTCCATGTCTACTCAGAAGTATCTTACGAACGGGGTGGTTGGTGCTCTGGCCTACAATGCCCGAGGTCTGCTTTTGAGCTGGTTCGGAGAAGAACTTTCGCATGATGTGATGGCCATTATCAATCCAGATGAGAAGTGCACCCTCATTTATGAACTGGAGACCTATGCTGCAGTGATGAGTCTTGTAAGGCTTGATCCAGCATGGCGCGATTCGGACGTCCTCTTCCTTGCGAATGAAGCCTCGTTGGCCACACTCATCAATGGGAGATCCGATTCGAACTTTGTCCAAAAGCTTCTCAACACTCTTTTCGAGTGGGAGTGCGAATCCAGATGTAATGTCTGGTTTGAGCGCGAACCCAGCTCCAGCAATCCAGCTGATGATCCATCAATGTGCATCTTTCCGATGCAATCGGGACTTCGTGCGCGGCTTGACGCCAAGAGCGACTTCGTGCTCCACGCCGTTGGCGGGGCCTCGCCAATTTGTTTTGCACTTCGTCCGCCCATGATAAAATGAAGAGGAGCGAGTGATTGCAACTTTCTTTCTTTACATATTCGATGGCTGTCTATCATGCCAATCTTTATATTATGCCGCCGTCGCAGCCGCCTGCGTAAGGTATTATTTTCACAAGAAAGTTTGATTTTAAAGTTTACTTTAAAATCACGGCTCGTTTTTCGATTTCATGCTTTGACACATGTGAGGTCTCATGTCATGTCACAGCATGCGCTCTTTGAGACTTGGTACTCTGCATGTGCAGTG